TGCACGTTTTAGAGCCCTTGGTTTCCTGAAAACAAATATGTGGTTGAGGAATTGCCCATTTCACAGTTACGACATTTGAGTTTGTATTAAGCAGGGGACAAAGTTTTACTGTGGCAAGTTGATTATGGTAAATCTTGGTGAATATACTTCGGAAATTAACTTGAGAATAATCTTTCATGATGCTGTGTATATAATCTTCCCTTCTCAATGTGGTTCTAATGCGACAGATTTCTTCAAGATATCCATAAATTAAGGATGTGCAATTCAGCTACAGCTTCAAAAGAGAAAAACTAGAGAAAACGGATGCTAAATCTTCATGAAGATACTTGAGATGCCGCTGCCTTTCTTTTGACAAATCTGAGAGTAAATATAATTGCACGTTCAAGTTTTAAGTTATCAGCAAAAATTAAGGTAAAGCAGCTGATCTTTTTCTTTGCCGAGATGTAGCAACCAAGCTATAACCATGACTGTGTGATTAAACTAGTGAAAAGATCAAGCTAACCATGGCTGTGTCAATAAACTAGTGATAAGATCACGACTTATAGTAAAAGTAGGGCACATCAATCACAAGCAAGCATGTTCTAAGCCTGGTGTGTTCTCCATGTATCCACCGAGGGAAGGGAAGTTAAGTGAAGAGGGGACAAGGGAAGTTAAGGAAAAATATAAGGGGTTTGACCTACTTTTCACTTATATTATACCGTAAACTTGTATTCGATAGAAAAAAAAATGCCCTAAAGTTTTTTAAACTTGCACCTATATACCATAACTTTTCTTGGCAGCACTTAAATACCGTAAAGTTTTTACAGCTAGCACTTAAATAACCTACAGTTTTTAAAACTTGCACATAAATACCCGCAGCTATGCAAACTTGAGGGTATTAAAGTGCTAGATTTAAAGAATTTAGAGTATATAATGGTAAGTTTTAATAACTTTAGGGTATATAACTGCTACCATCAAGTGAGGGTATTTAAGTGCAAGTTTAAATGACTTTAGGTATTTTCTTGCTACTAAATACTGTTAGAATTGATATAAAACTATAATCCTCGATCATCATCATAACTTTGGAGTTCTTGTATAATGGTTAGAGCGACTAAACAAGATGGTATCGACCAACCCGGGTTCAAATTCCATCGGCCACACATTTAAAGCAGATTTTCTAAAAACGCTGCATGAGTCTAGGTTTCAGCCCATAAAAAAAGGCGTTCAACTTGTGGGCACATGTTAGAATTAATATAAAACTACAATCATCGATTCTCACTATATCTTTGGAGTTTTGGTCTAATGGTTAGATAGACTAAATTTAAGAAATACAAGTCGGTGTATATAAGTTACAAGTAGATGAAACAATAGGGTATATAAGTGCTAGTAGCCTAAAAAGTGAGTGCAATCAAAATATTATAGTGGTACAATTACAATATCGCATTACACAATTAACTACCTCAAATTGTTTGTTGAAATCTGACGCAAGACATATCTAACAGATAAATCGTCTTCGAATTGGAAAACAATCATCTTTAAAAGTTAGCAGAGACAAATGATTGGTCGTCAACTTTGACACAGCCGACCAGATTCTATACACTTTGATCCATCTCTGTACCCAGAAAATACTCCCTTCTAACTCAACTATACAAGCTGCATGCCTGTCAATTTTCTTGGCGAGACAAGATTTCCCAGTGAAAGGGGGAGAAAAATCTCTAGTTCCCCTTCGGATCTCGTCACAAGTATCATTCTGAAGATGATGACAACAAATTCTGACTGATTCATGAGCGAAGAACTTGAGCAGGATCTCGTCACCGAAATGCTTGATAGCATGAGGTGATGATGCTTCCGAACCCTAGTAACAAACTCGAGCAGGTTTGTTTACAGACATTGATCGACACCTCCATCCATTTCATTGTTGCCCCCGAGCATCTGTATCTTCATCTGTGGTCTCGTCGCCACGACATAGACACGCCCCCTTAACGCACGTACACTAAAACATGAAATTTTACAAAGTGCGGGTTTGAGGTTTATAATTTCAAACTTCTCGTAAATCTTAGTAGATATTTTACTGGAAGTCTAGATAATAATTCAAGTAAACCCAAGAACGTGAAGGGAGGAAAATGATTCAACTCGTTCAAGTAAACCCAAAAGAAGGGGATGGAGGAAGGAACAAAATAAAATGAACCGAGTTCGAACAGAGAACGATGGGGAGAGAAGAGGTATACTGTAATTTGTGTTTGTTTAGAGTTGAAACGAAAATGGAAGAAATTGTACATCTAGCTTTCCCTCCATTGTCTTCTCCACTCTAATCAAACACAAATGAAGTGTACCTTCTTTTCCCCCCTCATTCTCTGTTCAAACTCAGTCGGTTTCATCCTGTTCCTTCCCCCATCCCCTACTCTTGGATTTACTTGAATCATTCACCTCCCTTACCATTCTCTGTGTCCAAACACAATGCAAGCTTTCTACTTTGATATATAGTTCGAAGGGGGATCGAATATTAGCACCAGTTACATCCATATATATTTTTCGAATTACAGTGGCAACTCATCTGCACATTCTCCTCAAAATGTAATATTCACCGGTGGCTCAAAACCTGGAGTGAAAAAATGTCATGAACCATATGAAGACGACGAAGAACTGAACCAGGACTAGAACGCTCTTGTCATTAAACTTTTTACGGTATACACAAACTCTCCAACCCTCAGAGTCTCAGTGACGATTCTATGTAGGAAAAAAGAAACTGGAATTTATGAATATAATGACAAATTTCTAAATTCAATAGACTAAAAACATATAATTTGTAGCTCAGCAATCAATCGAATCCCTTTCTAAGTTATGCTCTCTCTCAAAAACCTTTTTCTTCCAACCATCTCCCTAAATACATATACAATATGAACTAAAACAAGAATCTTAGGATGCCTCTAAGCAAGTGCCCGGGGCTTCCATCTGGAGCTGGTTTCCTTACTTCCGTCGACGCTCCCTACAAACAAAGCTTGCTGTCTCTGTTCTGCACATTTCAGATACTCTTCAAGAGGAGGAAGGCTTTTGCCTTTGCCATCACCATTTACTTGGCCTCTAATTAACTTTGATGCCCAGTGTCTCTCTGCTTGTTGGCAAACATCCCTTATATCTCTCCCTGACATTCCATCAGTAACTGAAGCAAACTCAGCAATCTCTGAAGCATCCAAATGCTTTGCATACTGGGACACAATTTCCTCCCTAGTTTTTTGATCAGGAAGATTAAAACAAATTATTGAATCAAATCGACTTATAAGAGCAGGATCGAGATCCTCCTTTCTATTCGTGGCAGCAATCACCACCACTCTCTTTTCCTGTTCAAACCCATCGATCTGACGCAACAAAACCGATAGAATCCTTCGTGTCGCTTCGTGCATCTCACTGTCTCGAGCAACAGCAAAAGAATCAACCTCGTCTAGAAATATTATCGCTCCTTCAGGAATATCATTAGCGAGTGAAAAAACATTACCTAATAATCTTTCACTTTCTCCATAATATTTTGACATTATTACCTCAAGAGGCACATAGACCAATGGGACGCCTGACTGGGTGGCGATTACTCTTGCAGAAGAGGTTTTCCCTGTACCTGGAGGGCCTTCAAAAAGGACAGCTCGAGGTCTGTTAGTCTCAAATTTACGACGAGTGCCACGTGCAATGTCATCATATACTTCAGGGCTTTGTAATGCTAAGAGTATGCTATCCTCTATCTCCCTCTTTTGTTCTTCATATCCTGCAAGATTATCCCATGATATCATTCCACCAAGGGGAATGCCACCAGTTTCATCAAATCCATAGACTCTCACACCCATGGCTTCTAAAGCTGAAACCGACTTTTCCAGTGAAGGCGGCGGATTCCCGTAATTATTTCTTCTCGATTGATTGGTTTTAGGAGTTTTCCCTAATGGTCTTTTCACATCCCTCCCACCAGCTAATTTTAGAGCACTTAATAAGGCGTCAAGCTCCTCATTACTGAATTTTCCCTTCTTTATGAATTCGATCTCACAGAAGTCAGAGCCCACAAGCGATTCAAATATCAAAACACATAAATTCTCCTCATTTTTCTCTGTTTCATTAGTTTCCTTTGTTTTCTCTGGGTAAGTTAGAGTTACCTGCCATGCTGCTGCAGTGTCCCAAGCACGCAATAGCATTTCTGAACTGCTGCTGCTATCATCCTTCTCAGCCTTCAATCCGAGATGTGAAACGAGATCCACAATAAGGCGTGAAACCTCACATGAAGGAGGAATCTTGAACTTGATGGTGACCTTCTGGCCTCTACCAGCGACCGTAAAGTGTGGGTATGAACCCCGTTGCATTCCTCTATTTGCTAGCAACTCCTCTAGTCTCCGTCTCTCCTCGATAACTAAATTTTCCACTCCACATGAGCTTGCTTCAGATTCTGATGTGGATTGAGGAGGAGGTCCATCAGCAAGAGATGTTTGTAATGATCCAGAAACTCCAATTCCAAGCAATGCCATGACCGAGATGGGTAACAAGGATGATGAAGAGGAATGGGAGGACTCTGATGTCCATTCTGACTGCTGCAATCCAATCAGCTCAGGACGCCAATGGTGTTTGCTCAAAAAATGGCAAGGATTGGTAGATGAAGAGGTGGAAATCTTCCCTGAGAGAACCCTCTGCCAAAAAGGAACAGGCTTTCCGGATCTTGGCACAATCCTCCTTAACATCGCTGCTGTTGCTGCCAAGCATACAGAGAGTAATATGGATTGTTATTATTATTAATTGTTGAACAGTACATAATACTCTACTTACAAAAGGGCAATATTCTAAACTGGTTTGTTAACTTACAGATTGAGATGTTTACCCCCTGCAGTAGCTGTCCCTGAAAACAACATCACCAAACTCTGTTGATTAGATATAAGCAAATATACTAATCTACTTTATGTGTGACAAAATAACTAGCAGAACAAAAGTGTCTACCATTAACTATCCACACTGTGACAAGATAATGCAGAGCATCAGGTATGTGCATAATCCTAGCAACAATTGATAGAATATTAAAGGGTTTTGACATATTGGACCCTAAATTCTCTCACGTTTATATTGGACATGCAAATGTTCATATTTCTAATAAGCAGACACAGATCTACTAAGTTAGTTTAAATAAAACAGTTTAAAATTTTTGACATATTCAATGCTAAATTCTTTCTGGATTTTATATTAAGCCCTCAAATCTTCATATTCCTAAAGGGCAAATTACAGAGAATCCCCCTAGGGTTTGCATGATTGACACAAAATTCCCATATGGTTTTAAAAGTGACTTAACTCCCTATTTTGCCAATTTCTAGTCATATAATCATTTATTTTGGATATAATCATTCATTTTCAATATAATAATTATATATTTTAATAATATTGGACAGCATATAATTAGCATATGCAGTGATAGTACATTTTGCATTCAAGTTAATCATGTTGATATTAAAAAAGGGGAGATAAAGTGCCACTTTTAGAACCTTAGGGGATTTTGTGTCAATTGTATAAACCTTATGCCTTACAGTGATTTTATGTAATTTATCCTATTTCTAAGTAACACCCGAAATCTATTAATTTCAAGAGTTTAATTACAATATGGTAACAAAAATGGATGGAATCCAACCAGGTGTGCTATTTACAGCAACTAAATGAATTGGTGTAAATTAGAATAATGAAGATTTGGAGGCCCAATATAAAATAAGAAATAATCTATTACTATCTAGTAAAATAGCTGTCAATGGTTGCATGAGTGACAAGTAACAGTTGTGGCAGTTGCTTTACTTTTACTGTTGTTGTTTTTGTTGTTGTTTTTGTTATCATTGATGGTGGTGGTGGTTACTACTACTATTCCTTACTTATCCTCTTTTCTCTTTACCAAACTCAAACTCTCTCTACCCAAAACTCATTAATAAACTACCAAACCATCTGTGTCACTGGTTGCATGAATTACAAGTGACAACAATTTTACCTTTATTATCATTTTCATTGTCTTTTTCCATTTTCCCTTTCTTAAACTCAGAATCTCCCTTCCCAAATAGCCAAACCTATAAATTATCAAGTCATCTCTTTCGAAAATCCATGTATCACACAAGTAATAGGCTAGTTTAGGGTTATGACAAAACCCAGTAACAAAATACTATAAAAAGAGTAAATCAGCAAACAACATGTCTGAAATTTAAAATACAAGAATTATGCATAAATTTAAAATTCAGGTTTAAATGGTTCGTTGAAAGAATACAATGACAAACTTAGTAGCTAAGGATTTGGTCTTCAAGAGCTCTACAGATTATTTTGACACTATTAGGACCTTTTTAGTTTTAGCATCTATACAACATATTATCATTTGCTAAATGAATGTGAACAGGGGCGGAGGCACCTCAAAGAGGGTGGTGTCAAGTGTACCAGCCTCTAGCAAAACAACTCCTAAGTATTTGATCCAATAGAGAACCCACTACAAAATTAAGCAATGGGTAGTGACCCATTTGTGATTTATTCTTGATGGGCCAAATCTGAAATGGCACAAATCCAAAATCTCATTAACTTAGCATCATTTAGCAAAGAAAAAATGGACAAATAAATGGAGGTGGGTACCACTTGCAGGTTGGTGAAAAGAATCGTCTATGAAATTGAATGGATATCAATGGATAAATGACAATTTAGTAACTTACAATGAAAATAATGTATGTTGTGGTATTTCAAAGAGACTATAATACAACGATTTCAAAATGCGAAGACATGTAGGGGACTACTGTAATTTTACTTAGTTAAATATACCTTTTGTATCTCATAAAAATTCTTGACATATTGAATATGAGAGAAAAATTATTGTGACACCACTAGTATGAAGTCCTGACTCCGGCCCTGGATGTGAAATTGTTTTTCTAAAACATGAATCATCGAAAGTAATATAAATGAAAAAATTTGATGAACCTGTAGTTGGAGAAAAGAATCAGAAAGTGACGGTTAATTTAAATTAGTACATGGGCTTAAGCAAGCCTGTCAATAGTGGCATGGATTTTTAAATTGGGTAACTTAGATGAGTTTATATATTTTAAGGTTCCAGAAAAAGATCATATGTTCTTTATAATACATAGATGATATTTTCATCTCTAGGACAACCTTAGACATTATTCAAGTATTAACCATTAGCTCCCTCCATTTAATATGAAGATCAGTTGACATGACTTTAAAAGCGAATTTAGATACCATAAAGGATTATTTCAATTTCCAGATTCTTTTATCAATATGCTTAAGGAGTTTAATCCTTAAGATTGAAAACAAGTGTATATTCCTTATACCTCCAGTATTGTTCTTAAGAATGAGAAGACAATGTTGCAACACAAATATGAAGAACACAAATGTTTCAATTTTGCACCACACAAATAAATATAAACCAATGTAGCAATCATTGTGAATGCATAAGTAAATACACTACCAATCCTAGCGAAAAACAATACCCTGCATTAAAAAAGTGTTTAAACTACTTCAAGGCACTCTAGATTGTTCCTAAATTAGATATCTTAACGTCATAGGAGATACAATCGTGCTAATGGAATAGATATATTGATTTTAGGGTATGAAATCTAGACCTTTTATTATGCGTGTTAGCGTTGCTACTAGTTGGGCACATTTTCTAACCCACAAACAGGATCTATATAGACACATAGATCCATGGATCCATACATCTCGATCGAGGCATATTGGGCACTGCTTCTTTGATTACGGAAACAATAACGTCACTGAAAGGCCCTAATTGTTTCCGCGAGACCAACATATTTTCCTGGAGAACCTGTAAAAACTTCTGCCACGAAGAAGGGTTGTGATAAGAAACTCTCAACTAAAAGAAAACCCCTGTTGCTAGAAGTGCCATGGGATCTGAATAAGTTCACCCATAAAACAAAAAAAGGACCAGCAACACACACACAGAAAATTAATTTCCTCAACATCAGTGAAGTCATCATCTTCACATTTCATGCATCGCAATGATTTTAGAGCGGGGTTTCCACTTGGCCCACCGCATGTGTCGCTGACTGGTCTTTAAAGTTGGAATTTGCTCTCTCCATCGCAGGAAAAGCTGTTAAAATCTCCCCTTTATTTCTTACATTTAACTCCTATCCCCACTTTAGATAAATTATACTTGCTTGATATTTCAATCTCAACAACCTACATAACACTAGCACAATGAACAAGTCTCCTAAAAAAAATATCCTCTGCAAATGCCCTTTGATCCAACGCAAAGATACTAACTTTCAAAGAAGATTAAGGGAAAAAAATAACCTCCAAATTAAATAAATACAATGGCCGTCTATTGGCTCAAGTCACAGAACGAGCAACCGCAAATCAAACCTAGGGGGGGGGGGGGGGGGGGGGCTAAGAATCCTCAACATGTCATAATCATAAAAAAAATCTACTAATTAACAAAATTGATTCAGATAGAGCAAAATGTAGAATTAAATGTAGGCACCTTGAAATCTACGATTGAAAGGACCAGCATATAACTCCTAAAAACCGCCGAGCGATGAGACATGAAATCGGTCTTTTAATGCTTTAGACACCGTGGGACTTAAAAAATTTGATGTACGATCGTGTTTATTGTGAAGAGGTGGGTCGATAAATCCATTAAGATCACTTACGGATCGGTGGGATCCTATCTTACCCGAATTCGCGAACATGACAAGATTAACAAGTGATCTCGAGAGGTGGCAGCGTTAAAAGCAGAGATGGTGGGAGTCAATGTTACATAACGTTAACGTCGCATACACAGATAATCAATTCTCAGCGAGTTTAATTATAATACTTCAATAAAAATCCTAGAGTCATCATATCATGTTTTATATATATTCGAATAATATATATAATATATATATAATAATATATATATATTATATATAATAGATATATATATATATAGTACTAGTTTAGATTGCAATGATCAACTATTATGATTATTTAAATTGATAAAAATAGAATAAAAATAAAAAAAAAAAAAATTTTTTTGCGGGATTAATTATCAACACAATAATTTCTCTTTCAAATAAAATATTGTCATTGTTTACTTCAACAGTGACTATCGTCACGTGAGTTATAAACACATTGATCTAGTACAATATCTTTGTTTATTAGTATCTTGAAGTCTTTAAAAGATGGGTGATCATTCAATTCATAAAGGAATTTTGCATATGAATTTACTTGCAATATGTCCATTAAATTTTTAGTTGTGGTTTGACTCATATTCACATTAACTTTTAGTTGTGATTTTACTCATATTTACATTATCTAATATTCTCATTCAATTTTATAGCTCATTCTCCATACCATAGAAGTAAAACTGAAAGTATGAAGAATTATTTTCTTGCGAAATTAGAGGAGAGAGATTATGATATATTTCACCATGTACTTTAAATATTAAAAAAATCTCTTTGATGTAAGGTCTCTATCAAATCTTACCCCAAACAATGTGAATGGAAAATGCTATTATAACTTACTTGCTTGGAGTAATTATATTGTATATAAGACATAATAGTAGTCTTATGTATTTTCTAGTTCTAACTGCAAAATACGCAAGAGTGGTAGTCCTGTGTATTTTCTGACTTTAATTATTTTTTTAATTAATGTTCTCTAATTACACGGGACTATTAGTGCCGTGTATTTTAAAGATGATTTTTACACAAAATCGACCTCTTTGTTGCCAGTCTTGATGGTGTGACAAAACAGAGGTCAATTTTGTTAATTATTATGTAAAACAATCAATTTTGCTAATATTTTTAAAAAGTGATCTTTTTAAAAATTCTCCTAAAATAAACTATTAATTCAAAATATGAAATGGGTAAAAAGACCTAAACATTCTAGTGATTAATTGACCCATAAATAGGAAAAAATAACAATTAAAATAAAAGTATATTTAAATTGAATCTAACAAGGCACTTCACAGAATGAAGCATGAAATGGATCCAAGAAATTATTAAAAAAGAATTAAAAAACTAATTTAAAAAAATATGAGATCGAGGGATAGAGGGAGAGAAGACCTCACCGACATGAATTTTATTTCTCTTCAAGCGTGACAACAAAATTGGTGGAGAATGAGCAAGGAGAAAAGTGAACAGAATAGGTAACAAAGTGGGCGTGCTTATATAAATAGGTTATTAAGATATTCGTCCTGAAATCTTAAATACATACATGTTAGTACTTAACATTTTTGTAATTGCTCATTTACAATGATATTACTATTCAGTATTAAATCGGTTTTATTATATAAAATTATATATCATTATTAATAAATTATAAAGTATATATATGGAAACCTCGATGCTTATAGCTAGTAGTTAGGCTCCACAAAATAGGTTAACTTTATATTGTAGTTTCTATTGGTAATATTGTTGGCAATGTCATTATCTTTCCTCTTTATCTTATTATTCATAATTTTCTGATGTAAGTCCTCCTTTTCTAGTCACTCAATTGACTATATTTTATTTTTATAATATCAAAAATTAGAATATTCTTTTCTGTTTAAAAAGTGTCGATATGATTTTTTTTAAATATATACATATAGTAGCAATACTATATACTTCAGTTTAACTCAAACATTGGCTTGAAGCTATTTAGAATGAGGTCATTTCTACGCTAGAATGGTGACATAGTGATTACATAATCCAAAAGGCAAAGAAAATTTTTTGCAAAGGAAAAGTAATTTAATATGTCAAATTAACAACTAATTTATACAATATACATGGGCAGTGCAGAGAGGTATAGAAAGTAAGGTATATATCTTCATAGAAATTTCATAGTGAGTGACCAACTACAGGCATCCTAATTTAAGCATTAATAATTATTATTTTAGTTACTAATTTGATACGCGTAACTATAAAATAAATCTCAAGCAAAAAATAGAAATTGAAATTGTATTATCCTATAGGTAAATAAATAAATATAATTTAAAAGTAATAATTTAAATTATTAAGTGCCAAATATTAGTTCATGCGAGAAAGTAAAGTAATCTATGATTTATATACCTATATAGTCAATCGATTAAACGTATTAAAATTATAATGACCACAATTAAAATTATATGGTGGGTTTACATTAAATATAATTTATAAAAAATGGTATAATAAAGTCAAAAACCTTTTAACCACTATATAGATTGTTTAAAAATTTTACATGTATAAACTATACTGTCTAGGAATAGTGATGTGCATACTTAACTATAGCCTAATACATCTTAAGAACGACTTACTCTTCAATATCATTATTAATTGATGTATCTATGCATTACACTAAAAACACAATGAAACTTTAGAAAATTATAAAAGAAATACCCTCAAAAGTTTTTAAAATTGTAAAAACAAACACCCTAAACTTTTATAATTTACAAATACACAAAACTATTAAAAATTACATTAAAATCAAGGAACTACAAATTTTTTTTGAAAAATAAAAGTTTGGAGGGGTAATTTGCAATGTACTAAACTTTAAGTTTGTTTTTTAGCAAATTTCAAATCTAATAGATTTTTAATTAGTTATGTTTTTTTTAAAAGTTATGGGTAATATTGACCATAAAAAGTTTTTTCTAAACCTATACTTTTAAAACGAGTATGATATTTTTTTTGTAAATTTTTTATTTTTTAGGGGTTGCTAGTAATTTTGTATATTCATTTTAGTGTCTATAGGTTAGAAATTTTCATGGTATTTTTTTTATAGATTATGAATATTAGGGGTTATTTGTAATTTTTAAACTTATAGGTATTTTCTATAGATTGTAAATTGTTTATAGACTATTTATAATTCATATATTTTTAATTTACTAATGAGTTTGAAAATCTCAGGGTGTTTTTTATAAAATTTAAATTTGAATGTTTGTTTGTAATTTTCGAAACTTTAAGGGTGTTTTCTATAAATTATATATTATGCAAAGAATATTTATAACTCCTATATTTTCAATGTACTGTTAGGTTGAAAATTATCAGGATTTTTATAAATTTTACAATCTTAATGGTTTTATCTTATAATTTATAAAAAGTTTAGAGTGTTTATTATAAATTTTATAAATTTTGGGGGTTGTTTGAGTTATTTGTTGGTTTTTAGTGTGTTTATAGGTTTGAAAATTTTAAGGTGTTTTTTACAAATTTTGAATTTTAGGAGTGTTTTGCATTTTCTAAAACTTACAAGCTACTTTCTCCAATGTTAATAACTTTTACTTTTTAGCTAGCATATATTTTTTAGATTTTTCACTGAATTGAAATAAGTAAAATTTATAATTTTTAAGATGTTTTAATAAATTTTTTAATTTGTAGGGTTGATTTTGCAATTTAAAAACTTAGATAGTATTTTATACAAGATCCAAATTTTTTATGTGCTGGCTAGCATATATTTTTTAGATTTCTTTGCAAACTAAAATAAATAAAAAATTTAAATTATATCAAACATATCACCTTTATCCAATAACATGTTAAGTCTCGTTATGGATAGGATAAATCATATAATTATAAATTTAAAGAAGATAGGAAAATTAAAATAGATTAGGATAACAATATAATATTTAAAAAAAATTAAGGATAATATTGACCATAAAAATATTTTCCTAAACTTGTACTTTTAAAGGGAGTATATATATATATATATATATATATATATATATATATATATATATATATAGTATATGTGTGCCATATGGTAGGCAGAGTTGAGAGGAGAGAGAGGAGACCAGAGGGAGGAGAGAGAAGCCGAGGGTAAGCTGCCAGGCGTTGGAAATTTGTCCTTACGGCTAGCATGTGCTCAAGGCTTCGGTTATATTGTTTGGAAGGAGTTTTATAGAATACGCAAGATTTTAGCAGCAGTTTATATTTACAAAAAATGAAGGTCTGTAGATGTGCAACAAATCATAAGTCTCTAGTTGTCTTTCCTAATTAAGCTTCGTGGATCCCCAAAAGCGAGATAATTTGCCAAATCGCCAGCTCCTTCATCGCTTCGTCATCGCCCGCTCCTTCCCAGCAAAATCCGCATGAGCCGTGGACAGCCTCCGCGCGCCGCCGGTCGCCGGTCCCCTCACGCCAAAAACCCGCCGATCGTGCACCGCCGATTCTCACGAGCTCGCCGTCCCAGGGAGCCGTCCACCGGCCGCCGCCCTCCGGGTCATCACAGTTGCCATCACGTACAACACTCGCTCGGCCGCCCTGAGCCGGCGCGAGCTGCGCCGCGATCGACCCGCGCCC